GAGATCGCGCCATTGCACTCCAGCCTGGGTAACATGAGTGAAACTCTGTCTCAAAAAAAAAAAAAAAAAAAAGAACTAATGTTAAAGCACCAAACACCTGCATCTTTGTCCCTCTAGCCCACACAGGCCATTCTTGGACTGTATGAAGGCCAGCTGGCAGAACCCGAGAGAACAGTTGCTATGTCTGACTCAAATAGTCCGCCCACACATACCTCCTTTTTCTTTTTCCTCTATTTCTTTTTCTTTATCTGTCCTGCTCATGCATTTGGTCAGCTGTGACACCTAATGGTGTCTACTGGCACTGCTTAGTCCTAGGGACAGAGGATATTCAAGGTACAAGGTAAAAACCTCCTTAGTAGGGCCAAAAAGTTTGAAGCCAGGAAGTTGCCCTTATTGTTATAAGGCTGATGTGGCCTCTGGAGATAATTAACATTTGATGATGACCTAACATGCGCCTAATATGCTTTTTGTTTTGAGACAGAGTCTCCCTCTGTCACCCAGGCGGGAGTGCAGTGGCCTGATCTCAGCTCACTGCAACCTCTGCCTTCCAGGTTCCGGCAATTCTCATGCCTCAGGTTCCCAAGTAGCTGGGACTACAGGCACCCAACACTACCCCTGGCTAATTTTTGTAGTTTTAGTAGAGATGGGGTTTCATTATGTTGGCCAGTCTGGTCTTGAACTCCACCCACCTTGGCCTCCCAAAGTGCTGGGATTACAGGCATGAGCCACCATGCCTAGCCTGCATTATATATTTTAATCCTCACACTTATCTTGCAGAGGTAAGAAAATGGATTCACAGGAGCTAAGAAAAAATGCCCATAAGTGGCACTTACTGGAATTTCATAATAGTAACTACAGACAGCATTGTTTGAGGGTTTACTCATGCTAGTTTTACATGAGTTAACTCACTAATGCTCACTACAACCCTATAAACTAGATGTTGTTATCCCCATTTTACAGTTGGGAAAATGAAGGCACAGAGTTTAAGAACTGTGGGTCACACAGCTAGTAAGTGGTGAAACAGAGGCAAGCAGTCCAATTCCATAGCCAGTCCAATAGCCAATTTTCTTAGTCACCATACTATACCAAATTTTAACCCAGATATTTCTAACCGCAAGACTCATGCAATTTCCACTACTCTTGTATTGTGACCTGGGAAGAGTAACAGGCTCTACCACCATAAATGGATCCAATTATATTCAGGGATGTCTTACCTCTGAGACAGAGCTAAGGGAACCTCTGGAGAACTCCACCTTGTTAAGTCCCTGCAATCCCAGCCCATCCCAGAATCACCTGTCTGGGGACAGAGGCTCAGATCTTTGGGGCTGGTCAACATGCAGCCTTCATTCTGGTGCCTTCAGACACAAGAGGCAGCCACTGCGGTCAAAGCCTGGAGAGACCCAGTGAGTGTTCTGGGATGGCACGGACTGGAGGCCCCTTTGTTGAGTGCCTCAATCTTCGCATTAGGCCCACTCCAATGTTGGAGGCTGAGGGTCCAGAATATTAAAATCTTTTTTCTTTTTCTTTTTTTTTTTTTTTTTTGAGACGGAGTCTCACTCTGTCGCCCAGGCTAGAGTGCAGTGGCACGATCTCCGCTCATTGCAAACTCCGCCTCCCGGATTCAAGAAATTCTCCCTGCCTCAGCCTCCCAAGTAGCTGGGATTACAGGCGCGTGCCACCACGCCCGGCTAATTTTTGTATTTTTAGTAGAGACAGGGTTTCCCCGTGTTGGCCAAGCTGGTCTCGAACTCCTGACCTCAAGTGATCTTCCTGCCTCGGCCTCCCAAAAGGCTGAAATTACAGGCGTGAGCTACTGCGCCTGGTCGAGCATATTAAAATCTAGTTTTCAAAAACCGAACTGCAGGCGCCACTGTACCAAACGCTTCCCTCTGGCTCCCCAACCCCAGCCTAAAGAAACCTGCTCCCCTCCTGCTACCCCGCAGTCATCCACCGGCCTTGGCCCAGCGGGGAACATCCCTTGACTGAACCGTCACTGAACACCCACACTCCACAACTGAGGCACAGCCCTCCCGGGAAGAAGCCCCAACACCCTCCACGCACAAGGCCTCCAAATATCCCTGTCCTCGGCAAGGGGCGGTGTCTCGGTTCCCATGGTAACCCGCAGCTTCCGCGTCGCGCTTCCGGGCGTATGAGCAGCGCGCTCCAGTGACGTCACGGAGCCACCTTCCGGCCGGTGGCACGGTCGAGCGAAGTAGTAGGGGCCGGGGGCGCCATGGGAGCCACTGGCGACGCCGAGCAGCCGCGGGGACCCAGCGGGACCGAGCGAGGCGGCTTGGAGCTGGGGGATGCGGGCGGAGCGGGGCAGCTGGTTCTCACGGTGAGGGCGCCCCGGGGGAGGCCTGGGCTCGGGCCTGGCAGGGCCTCGGGGCTCCTGGGACCCTTGCCCGCGGGCGAGAGAACGCGGCGGCTGGAGCTGCAGAGGGGGTTGGCGTTTTCGCAGCCCGACGACCTGGATTCAAATTCTGGTGCCGCCCTCCTAGCTAGGTGACGTGGGCCAGTTCTGTCAACCCCTTGAGCCCCGGGATCCTCTTCTATAAAATGGAGATGATTAGTACCTGTTTCATAAAGTTGTGGGATGGGAAGATAAAGGCGGATACATCGCCCAGCACATCACCTGGCACAGAGTTGACCCACGGTATACACTGCTTCCCTTCCTCCTGCCGTGCCAGAAAGGCGGGGTAGGGACTTTTAAGGCAGGAAACTTCCTTTGTTCCTCTTTTCTGGCGCGCAAGGGGGAGGCCTTTCAACTATTATCCTCCTCCGCTACCCTAAGGTGGGAGAGATGGTGTCGAATCTGAGAAGCAGGGATATCTAGGTTTAACTTCATACGCACCCTCCACTTCCACCCCATCCCAGTGTCACCAACCGCAGTGACATTTGTTCCCTTGGTCCCCCACAGAACCCTTGGAACATAATGATAAAGCACCGTCAGGTGCAGCGGAGGGGCCGCCGCTCACAGATGACGACAAGGTAAGGCTGGCCCTGCATGGGACTTATATCCCAGCCACTGGCTTTCATGGCAGCTTTGGGATCCCCAGTGCACAAGGCTATGGAGATCTACAGCCAGTAAAAAGAACACAGGACTGGGAAAGAGGAGACTCCGATTCTGTAACTCTGTGTGTGATCTTGAGCTAGTCAATTCACTTCCTTCTCTGAACTCACGTACAAAATGGGGAAGGGCGCAAGACATGGGTTGTGGAGTAAACAATACCTAAGATCCCTCATATTCACTGGCTCTGTGGTTGAGGACTCTAAAGAGATAAGATAGCATGGAGTTTAAGAGCACAGGCTCTGGAGTCAGACAACTGTGTTCTTGGGCAGACTCTGATGAGCCCTATTTTCTCAACTGTAAGAGTGATTAATAGTATCTGTCTCAGAAAAGGGAGAGAGCACAAGATGGACCTTTGGGATGCTGGTAGTGGTGAAATGGATGTTCACTATAATTACTCATTAAAGTGTATAGACTTTTCTGTATTATATTTCATAAAAACACTTTGATGGCCAGGCTCAGTGGCTCACGCCTGTAATCCTAGCGCTTTGGGAGGCTGAGGCAGATGAATCACCTGAGGTCAGGAGTTCATGACCGGCTTGACCAACATGGTGAAAAACCCCGTCTCTACTAAAAATACAAAAATTAGCTGGGTGTGGTGGCGCAAGCCTGTAATCCCAGCTGCCCAGGAGGCTGAGGCAGGAGAATTGCTTGAACCCAGGAGGCAAACATTGCAGTGAGCCAAAACCACAACACTGCACTCCAGCCTGGGCGACAGGGTGAAACTCCATCTCAAAAAAAAAAAAAAAAAAAACACTTTGAAAATAATACCCATGGCTGGGTACAGTAGCTCACACTTGTAATCCCAGCACTTTGGGAGGCCAAAGTGGGCAGATCACGAGGTCAGGAGTTCAAGACCAGCCTCCTGACCAACATGGTGAAACTCCATCTCTTTAAAAAAAAAAAGAAAGAAAATAATACCCACTTCATAGAGTTATTATGAGAATGAAATAAAGTCATGCCTCTGTGATTTGCACAAAATCCGAGCATGTAGCTAGTTTCCAATAAAAGCTGTCTAGTATTGTCAAAGGATTCTATGTCCAAAATTGACTGGGCAGACTGGGAAAGAATATGTTTGGGACATGCCCCCTCACCCTGTCTCCCTCCTGAATGCAGTTTCACGGATCCTGCCATCTCCATGGATCTGCTTCGTGCCGTCTTGCAGCCTAGCATCAATGAGGAGATCCAGACTGTCTTCAACAAGTACATGAAGGTGAGAGGGACACAGGATAAATGAATAACAAGGGAGGCCGGGCACAGTTGCTCATGCCTGTAATCCCAGCACCTTGGGAGGCTAAGGCGGGCAGAGCACCTGAGGTTAGGAGCTCAGCTTGACCAACATGGAGAAACCCTGTCTCTACTAAAAATACAAAAATTAGCTGGATGTGGTGGCACATGGCTGTAATCCCAGCTACTCGGGAGGGTGAGGCAGGAGAATTGCTTGAACCTGGGAGGCGGAAATTGCAGTGAGCTGAGATTGTGCCATTGTACTCCAGCCTGGGCAACAAGAACAAAACTCCGTCTCAAAAGAAAAAAAAAGAAATATTTATTGAGCGACTACCATACTACCAGGCACTATTCTAGGCACTGGGGATGTAGCAGTGAACAAACAGATACTCTGTAAACAGCGACAACAAGGTAAGGATGACCCTGCATGGGACTTATATCCTAGCCACTGGCTTGCATAGCAGCTTTGGGATCCCCAGTGCACAAGGCTATGGAGATCTACAGACAGTAGAAAGAATACAGGACTGGGAAAGAGGAGACTCTGAGCTTCAAGTGATCTTCCCACCTCAGCCTCCCAAGTAGCTGGGATTATAAGTGTGCACCACCACACCTGGCTAATTTTTTTGTATTTTTAGTAGAGACAGGGTTTCACCATGTTGGCCAGGCTGGTCTCAAACTCCTGACCTAAAGAGATCCTCCCTCCTCGGCCTTCCAAAGTTCTGGGATTACAGGCGTGAGCCACTGCACCTGGCCTACTTGACATATTTTGGTCGTGTTCCTAAGTTAGTACATAACAGTTCACCCCAATTCCTTTGTAATAGTGGCAAAGTAGTCTATTTGTTGGACTAGCTTCCATAAGCACCCCCTAGAATATTCAGAATGTTTTGTTTTTCTCTATGACAAACAGTAGTACTACAATGAACACTCTGAATGTACCTCTCTGTTTACTTGTGAGGATATTGCTGTGGGATAAATTCCCGGAGATGGAATTGGTGGGTATATGCAAAAACCTATCTTTCTGTCAAGAAAATTGCTCTCTAGAAAAGTTATACCAGCCAGGTGCAGTGGCTTACACCTGTAATCCCAGCAATTGGGGAGGCCGAGGCAGGCAGATCATGCAGTCAGGAGATCAAGACCAGCCTAGCCAACATGGTAAAACCCCATCTCTACTAAAAATACAATAATGAGCTGGGTGTGGTGGCCCATGCCTGTAATCCCAGCTGCTAAGGAGGCTGAGGCACAAGAATCATTGGAACCCAGGAGGCAGAGGTTGCAGTGAGGCAAGATTGCACCATGATCTGATTTCATTCTCGAATTCTGAGATAGCTTATACTTACCATATGTCCATTACACTGCCCACGTCACAGGCTGGTTGTAAAGTACCTAAACTATTTTAACTGGCTTTCAGTTAGTTGATATTGAACACCAGTATTCATCTCCAATTTTTAGGTTTTCGTTTTAAATTAAACTCATCTGATCATTTACTTTGGCCTGAAGTTTTAAGACCTTCCTCTTAAAACTCTTGCAGTTTCTTTTTTTTTTTTTTTTTTTTTTTTTTTT